TCTCTCTCTCCTTCCTTATATTTTGGTGGGTATTTAGGAGTTTGCTTACAATTCCATATGTAAAAATACTAATATAATAGTATTGTGATATTGTGTATTAAGAGTATGCCAGTAGTGTGCTGGAGGTGTGGCTCAAGTGGTAGAGCACCTGCTTTGCAAGTGTGAAGCCCTGAGTTCAAACCCCAGTCCCGCCAAAAGAAAAAGGAAAAAAAAAAAAAAAGAGTATGCCAGGAAGGAGAGGATTGCTTAGAAACCCAAGTAACAGCATATCATTCCTCAAAATTGATAAACAGTGAACATTTTAACATTTAATCCCAAAATGTTATTTTTGAAACCTTCCTCCAAACTGTTTGCAGACCTTAATGTAATTTACTTTGTAATTTACTACTTACTGGTATAGGCACTCCATGTACAGGAGGCATGTTTCCTGTTGAAAGGTAATAATCCATTTACGAAAGCCTAACTCAGAATTCCTTTTTAAAGCTGGAATCAGTTTTACTTTTGCTTTATGAAACGTTGCTTATATTTATTTTCTAATCAGTGCTACACTTTCTATTTTGTTTTAGGTATTTAAACCATGTCAGAGCTGCATCTCCACAGGACCTTGCTGGAGGCTATACTTCCTCTCTTGCTTGTCACAGAGCGCTGCAAGATGCATTCAGTGGGCTTTTCTGGCAGCCCAGCTAACCTGTATTTCTCTGTTTATAAGATTTGGACCTTGGAACCAAACCAAGGGACTAGAAAAATAAAGCAGCCTTATAGAATTATAGCTACATTGCAGCTGCACAACAGTACTATCACTAGCAGCTGTGTTAAGTATTTATAAAGAGAACATTTCACAACTAAGTTGAAAAATATAGGGGATACATATTCGCGAAAAGATTTGTTTTTACTGATATTTTCCTGAAGGCGATTGAGGCAGTGAGAGCCTCAACTGATGGGAGAGAGGAATAAATAATTCACCTATGTATGCTTGAGGTTGACAGACTTACAAAATCTTTTTTTAAAATAAAGCTAGACTTTATAGTACACTTTGTGGTTTTTCTCTTACTACAGTGTTTCACTTGCACACATTTTAAAATGCCATTTTGATTACAGCACTTAGTACTAATATCCAAGCCTATTATTTTTTCTCATAAAACTTCTCCTTTTTTTTCCTAATATCTTCTTAATACTAGTCCAGACAAGTGGATATATACCCTTCTAACCAGCAGGTTGGGGCAAGTAAAACCTGACCCATGATAATGTCACTCCTCAATAGTAAGAACTCAGTGCCTGTTTTGAGCAGTGGAAAGTAAGGCAAACCTGGATCAAGGTGTTATGGTTTGCAGGTGTGAGCCACACTCATGATAAAACCAGAGCACAGCATTAACCTGCTTTAATGACATTCAAAGAAGTAAGTTAATAAAATTTAATACTTAAATGGCACCTTTTACCTATGAGCTCATTTTATGATGAGATGTCGGAGACTGGAAAAGGTACAGGTTAAGTGAAATTTCTCTACAAGTAAATTGTGAACTCTGTTGGAGTTTTCCATCAAAACTTCAAAGGCTTTTATTATACCCAGAGTTTTGCTTAAAGAGTTAGGATGTGGATAGGATAGATATTTGTACCATCTCAACCTTGTGTGAGTCCGTTACATAGACCACTGCTATGGGACAGAGTTTCTCAAGGAAATTAAAGGATTTCCTGTCCAATCTTCATCACAACAGCTGTTAGTTTTATAGGTTAAAAAGTCATATGAAACTTAGGGTGTAACAGCCATTTGTAACAAAGTTCATCCTATTTTATTAAGCAGGGACTTATTTCGGGAGTACCTTTTCTGGTATCACAACATTTCAGTCTTGATAAATGAGGAAACCAAGGCATTGAACGATTGGGTAGGTCAAGCTCATAAACACAAATTAGTAAAAAGCCAGAATCAGAACACAGGTTAGTTTGCTTTTAATCCAAAACCAGTTCTAGCTACTCTCTACCACGGTGGGTATTCTGTTCTTTACATTATTTACTCTCCAATCAAGAATTTGTGTTTTTAAAGTACAATCTATAAATCTGTTCCAAGAATACTGAGAACACTAAACTTGTGGTTAAGGCTTCACTGCACTCAACTGCAAAAAAAGTAATGTATGTTAAGGGAGGGAATGAACCAATTAATAAAACATTTCAAAGGCTTTCAGGACTTATTTTGAGTCTACCATAGAAGTTGTTAACTGACCATAATAGGTCAAACAGAAATGATCAATGACAACAAACAACAAAAATCATCTAAATTGATGTGCTTATATCTCACCTTCCCAGTGATTTTCCCTCTTAAAGATTGTAGAAGTTTTTAATCTACCTAAATCAAGGATAACATTTTACAATGCTAGTACAGAAATAATAACTGCTTTGAGTGTTATCCGTAGAACAGTGCTAATAGTATTTGCCCCATTTTAATAGATGAGTAGAGGCTAAGTAACTTGCCAGGAGCCAATGCAACTTGAAAATAGCACAGCCGGGATTTGAACCCAAGTGCACAGTCTGTGCTCTAGAGATTCCTGTCAAAATTACAAATGACAGCTGCGCCAAAACCAGGACTAGATAGTCAAACTTCCTAAGACCTCCAATAAATTTTACAGAACAAGTAAATGAGACACAAATGATGTCAACTAAATAATCTTGCAGATAAGCTGAGGGAAACGCTGAGAAATTCATTATGTAGAAAATCTTACTAATAACTACACTGTAAAATAACTACACTGTAAGTAGGTGTTAAATGGTAGGGAATATGTGTACATCACATAATATGTTATTACTTAGTAGTCCTTAATTTGATTCAATAAATATTTCATCTAAGAACTCTTAGAAGCTATCTTTAGGTTGCTTAAGGTGGTCACACACTAATTTTAAGATCCAAATAAGGTAGCAGAAAATTTGTCATAACATTACAAAAATTAAAATAGTTTCCAGTGAGTTTTCTGTCATTTTCTAGTGGATTCATCTAAAGTTCATTTACTAGTGTTACATTAAGTTTACGGTAGATCTAGATGTAAATAATGAAATGATTACATATCTGTTTATCCACTGGGTGAAAGAGGAAGGGGTAAAATTTACAATTCTATATTATATATTTTGTCTCATTAGGAGGCAAGAGTTTTACTGCTTTATATGAGTAAAAACTCAGTTGTACATATACTTCATAACCTAACATATCAATGTACAGTATTTGGGTTGAGTTTCAAAACAAGTTCAATCTAAACACTATTAGATTGAAAAGAAGGGCTTTAATTCCTTTCTTCCCTATACTTACCACTTACTGCCTTCATTTATTTACATTACCTGCCAGGCTTCTGAAGTACTTGAGTTTGTAATTATTTAGATCAGGGATCCGTTTTTTGTAGGAACAGACAGTAACTATTTGTGGCTTTGCAGTCTAAGAGCAGATTGAGGACATTATGTAGGTACATATATGAAAAGATAAAAACAAATTGCCACAAACTTTTTTTGAGATAAGATCTCATTGTGTAGCCCAGGCTAGACTAGAGCTTGTGATTTTCCTGCCTCAGCCTCTGAGTGCTGTGAGTACAGGTATACACCACCATGGCTGGCACACTGCCACAACTTTTTACTGACAAAATTCAAAATAATGTAATTAAATATAACTTTTTTGTAATGTCTTTTTTATTGGGAGAATAACTTTCCCCTTAACTGGGTATCTAATTGTTTCCTATTGTCAAAATCAATGGTAAATGATCACCTATCAGTAGTTATCTGTAATGAAATTTTACACATTTTATCTTTAAAAATGTCTTCTCACACAGAGAAATACTGCCAAATACTGGTTTCTGTCTAGGAGCATATATCATTAAAAGAGCAGATTGTTTGGAAGGCATTTGTAAAATTCATCAAGCTCTTCCCTTACCTTTTAGCATGTTATCACACAGCACGCTGATCACTTCCAAATGAAGATTAGATGTAAGCACCTCAATTGCAGTTAAATAGATTTTGATGCAGTTAAATAGATGGGAGACACTGTGTTTGCAGTTGTACTACCCCTATCCTGCCCAAAAAAAAAAAAAATACTGAACTATTTTCTTAACTCCTTTGAAAATACTCATCCATAGTTGTTCCATAAAGGTATTCATAGATGCTAATCCTTCAGTCACTTCAAGCAGTAATCTCTCAAATAAACAAGAACTGAACAGTATTAGTATCATGTCAGCCGGTTAAGTCAGGAACCACTCAGAATCATTTACCTTTGTAATTGACCATTGGTATTACTCCTAATGTTCTTAAATTTTGAGCAACTGTTGTTACCAAAAGGCCAATCATCTTAAGTTTATTTTCTCTGGACACATCTTCAGTTACACAGTTAACTCACCATCAGTTACACAATTAACTCACCATCAGTTACACAATTAACTCACCATCAGTAAATGGCTTTCCTAGCTTGGCTGAAAAAAATCAGTCACTTGGCTCCATTTTCAGTTTTTTTGTTTTATGAAGAAATTCTGCTTTGATATTTTGATTTGAAACTTCAGAATTTTCTGACCGTTGCTTGCCTGTGAGTTGAGAATACTGAGACCAGGGCTTTGTCTGCTCATATTAATGTACACTTTTTTTTTTTAGCTTAGCTAATAGATGCTTTGTCATCTAATTCAATATCAAAGTAATTCATATTCCACTGTGCCTTCAAAGCACCACACATTTGATGCCCACTTGTCGTGACATAATGGGTATGAACTGGTAATAAAGAATTAAATTTGTGGCTTGGTGATTTACATAATACACAAAATGCTGTTTGCTGAGTTACATGTATCACTGTGGGCCAAGCAGCAGTATGAAGATGAGTCATGTGTGTATTACAGCTGCTCAACTCTGCTGTTGTGTCATGAAAGCAGCTACAGACAGTGGAAACACATGAGCGGGGCATAGGTTCCAACAAAACTTTACACACCACAGAAGTTAAATTGCATACAGTTTTCTTTTTTTCAAATAATGAGTTTATTTGTATCTGAAACAATTAAATATCAACATGAGCCTTTCCATTGAGTGACTTCATGGGTCATGGCCAAAACAGAATTTGGACAGGAAATCCTTTGGCCTTGGTGATTCTGTTTCATGAAAGAACCACATGAGGTGTTGTCCACTGCTTCCACACATTGTTTCCTCCAGCTCCATCTTTCCCTTAATGACCAGAAGATCAACCACCCTGGGGTCTGTGACATGAGCATTCTTCATAAACACTTCTCGGACTTTATCCTGTCCCTGTTTCACAGTGATGTCTAGCTGGAATGAGTGCACAATATTCGGCACCCGCCATTTCACCTTGTTCATGACCTGACCGAAAATGTGTTTCACTGAGGTGCGGCAGCAGCCTGCCGCAGACAGCTCGCACCCATCTTGCTAAAGCGCATACAGTTTTCATATTTGAAAATGTAAGAACATTCTCAAGTCATGGGCCATACAAACAGGTGGGGGAGCCAGATTTGCCCTACAGGATGAGTTTGCCTATACCTGATCTAAATACTCTCATTTTTAAATTACTTTAATAATGAAAATTGGTAGTAGAGGAGCAACTATGTAAAATAACTACATGCTTCAGCTAAGGCTAACTAGGAAAGTCTGTACTAGTGTGTTCCTGGCTAGACAGCACACAATTTCCTTACCTTCAAAAACTTTTTTCCCAAGAGACAGATAATGTATAAGTACATGTAGCTAATAAACATTAGATAAAAACATAATTATAGATTATAATTTAGGCTCAAAAACATGGTAAGCAATGGCATACTCTTATAGTTGAAGTACTTGGGAGGATAAGCAGGAGGATGAGTTTGAGACCAGCATGGGTTACTTAAGGAGATCCTGTCATCAAAAAAGAGAAAACAAGTAATATATATATATACACCTACACGGCAGACTTATTACAGTTCACTTTTAATTTGGTAATACCCAATTGGTAAGATGGCATGGCAAAACATAAGGATTCAATAGTGAAGTGACTGAACGCTAAAATTTTATGGAGTCACACAAATTATATTTCCTTACATAAAAGTCTAGTGGGCAGATGGAGAAAACATTTCCAGTTAGGTGTTTGATGCAATTTGTGGTTTTTCTTCTGAAAAGGCATTATCTATCCTTTGCCGTTTCAAAGGTGGTTCTTCCTGATTGTCTGTAACAAATTGAGAAAACCTATTAGATAAGATACCAAACAACGGAACATACTTTTTATTTTATTTTCCTTTTCTTTTTTTTTCATTTTTTCTTTTATTCATATGTGCATACAATGTTTGGGTAATTTCTCCTCCCTTCTCCCCTTCCCCTCCTCCCCCCTCGCTACCAGGCAGAAACTATTTTGCCCTTATCTCTAATTTTGTTGAAGAGAGAGTGTAAGCAATAATAGGAAGGAACAAGGGTTTTTGCTATTTATAAGGATAGCTATACAGGGAGTTAACTCGCATTGCTTTCCTGTACATGTGTGTTACCTTCTAAATTAATTCTTCTCAAACTAACCTTTTGTCTAATTCCTGGTCCCCTTCTCCTCTTGGTCTCTGTCACTTTAAATTATCTGCATTAGTTTCTCAGAATTGAGGGCAACAAATGCTATGTAGATTTTTGGGTGTCTTACTTATCCTCATACCTCCCTTATGTGCTCTCACTTTATCATGTGATTGAAGTCCAATCCTCTTGTTGATCAAGGGGCATTACCCTTGAGCTAAAGTCTGCATATGAGGGAGGACTTTCCCAATGGAACCCCAGCAGCTCAGCAACTAAGAGATAGCATAGATAAATGGGACTTCATAAAACTAACAAGCTTCTGCTCAACAAAAGAAATGGTCTCTAAACTGAAGAGACCACCCACAGAGTTGGAGAAAATATTTGCCAGCTACACATCAGATAAAGGACTGATAACCAGAATATATAGGGAATCAAAAAACTAAATTCTCTCAAAATTAATGAACCAATAAAGAAATGGGCAAGTGAACTAAACAGAACTTTCTCAAAAGAAGAAACTCAAATGGCCAAAAAACACATGAAAAAATGCTCACCATCCCTAGCAATAAAGGAAATGCAAATTAAACCACACTAAGATTCCACCTCACCCATTAGAATAGCCATCATCAGCAACACCACTACCAACAGGTATTGGTGAGGATGTGGGGCAAAAACGAACCCTCTTACACTGCTGGTGGGAATGCAAACTAGTACAACCACTCTGGAAAAAAATTTGGAGGCTTCTTAAAAATCTAAACATTGATCTACTGTATGATCCAGCAATACCATTCTTGGGGATTTACCCAAAAGATTGTGACACAGTTACTCCAGAGGCACTTGCACACCCATGTTTATTGCAGCACTGTTCACAATAGCCAAGATACGGAAACAGCCAAGATGCCCCACTACTGACGAATGGATTAAGAAAATGTGGTATCTATACACAATGGAATTTTATGCAGCCATGAAGAAGAATGAAATCATATCATTCGCAGGTAAATGGATGGAACTGGAGAACATCATTCTGAGTGAGGTTAGGCTGGCCCAAAATTGGAACACACTTTTAAATAAACAAATAACACAGGGCTTCTTTATATTTTTAATCTAGTCAACTCAGACATGAGGTATTTCCTATGGATTTACTGTTTTAATGAAATGGCCAAATTTAATTAATATACATATAAAACATTAATGTATGTATAGACAGATCTACAGAGGTAGATAGATCAATCCATCCATCCATCCATCGAGATACATATGTATGTCTACATCCCAAATAAAGCTACAAGAAAGATATAATTACATTTACTTCTCCAGAAATTGCTCACCTAGATTTATGGTCTGGTTCTTGTAGAGTGTAGCAGCAGGAATGTGAAAGGTGATACACAGCATTTCCTTGTTAGGGGCCACATTTCTCACTAGGTGAACCGAACTGCATTCTTCCAAGGAGATGCCTAACACAGCTCCAGCTCGTTGACAGACATCCTCAGCAGGATTAACGTCTTTGGAAAAGCTGTAACAGTGTACTATGGGGAGGAGCTCACTGCTGCATTGCTGCCCATCTAAAAGTGATTGGAAAGCACTGAGAAACTCTATAGCCTTTGCTGGCAAGTTCATGACAATGTGGATAGAGTGTTTTCTTTCTTTTGACAGTCCCAGCTGCATTAACTCTTCTCTGACTGGTCCTTGGAGGAAATCTTTCCCATCCAAGTTAAAGACTTTTACCTTTTGGTCCACTTTATTTAATTTACAATTGTGCAACAGCCACTTATGTGATTCAGGATTGAGATCATTGGCAAACACAGTGCAGTTTTTCTTTGCTGCTGGAATGACAAAGGGCCCAACCCCAGCAAAAACATCAAATAAGACATCCCCAGGTTTGAGAAGTTCTGTGATACGGCTGTGTTCTGTAGAGAGGCGAGGATTCCAATAGACTTTTGAAAAATCAAATTCATAAATGTAGTTGTTTTCTCGAACCTGAAAAAGTTATTATATTTTTGGTTAATATGCTTGGTCCTAAATTTCAGCCACTGATACTGGATTAGGTGTGTGTACATACATGTGATCACACACACATATATTTCCAACTTATGAGCAAATAACAATGAATTTAAAGGCATTTTAGAATCCTGGTGTTTATGCTATTTCTGGGACCGGTTAATATCTGGCATTAGACTTTTTCATGAGAAAGTCAGCTCTTCAAACATCTCTATTTCAATCCTAACGGCCATAAAGCCATATCAAAGTCACATGAGGAATTTTTCAGAAAGCCCGATTGACTGGCTAATTATATTCTTATATCACCAGATGGAAAAGAAAAAAAACCCTGTAATTTGAAACAACACACCACACATCTTTATAGTGTGTAGCTCAGTTATAGCCACACACAGCAAACAAGCTTCCCTCCTTGTTTAGTTTTCAGTCAGCAAAAGGGAAGAATAGATATGTCATTACATTTTGAGGTATTTTACTATGTTTTTAGACAGTTACTTGAACTTTGCAAATTTCATGTCTCTGAGTCAGAAGCAGTGTACAGACTGAATCATTCCCATATTTTCTTTCAGTTCCAAATTTTGAATTCTCATTAGTAAACTAAATACATACAGTGAAGCTAAGCCTTGAAGAAAAATTAAGACTCAGTATCATTTCTTTTGGGTCTATCATACACGTTAGGAAACAGAAAATAAAACTAAAATCATACTCATAGAATATGATCTCAGCCATCATGTTAAGTCCCTTATTTTATGGATGAAGAATCAAAGACCAGAAAGTTCTCAAGTTATATAAATTTAACAGATGTATCTTCTACCTCCTGCTTTCCTGGACTTTGGTTTCATATTTGTACATATTTTCTCCTCCCAACCACGTCAGGTGCTTCTGCCTACACTAAGGTTCCACGGTTAGAAATTTTTCTGCAAGTTTCTACCAACTAAAAGTCTCTCTAGGTAAAACCTAGAAGGATTAAATATATCTCAAGAACTATTTTATACATACTGTTCTACAACTTGCTTTTTTGTCACTTAACCTATCAATGCATAATTTATTTGAACAAATAAGGAACTAAAAAATCTTCAGTGAAGGATTGTCTCATATCATCATACCAGAATTTAACAAATTCTTCCAAAAAGGCTTTATCTGTCAATATTGTCCCACCAATAGTGTGTGTGTGTGTGTGTGTGTGTGTGTATATATATATTGCTCATATTATGTATGCATCAGTAGTGGGTATTTTTAATCTTTTTCATCTATTCTGATTATAAACATCAATTTTTCAAAGTCTATCTTATTAGGAAATAATAAAATACTCTGTACCTTGGTCGTCATGTTCTCTTCTCCAGCTAGCACTTCCATTTGGAAATTGCGGTATGTATTATCAATATTACTGATTTTATTTACTGCTGAGGTGATTCCTGGATTTTTGTCAATCATAACTTGGCCTAAAAAATAAAAATTCATAACAAAACTGCCTATTGGTTGCAAAATAAAAGTTAAAACTGAAACTATCTACCAGAAATGCATTGTATTGTATTCAGTTTGTAGTCAAAAACTATACTTAATGTTTATAATGCTGCATTGCAATTCTAAAAATCCAAAAGATTAAGCTAATGTCTGACAGTCTTTTGCAGTACATATAAAAAAAAGTGGGTAGGTTTTTAAAGAAAAGATTTTGAGGAGTTTGGGTCATGTATTATTTTTCCATATTTTTACTAAATCTTCTCAAATGTACCAATACAACAAGTAAACAATAAGGTAGATCACAGGGAATTGGCAAAGAATAGAGTGGGAAGAGGTGAAGACCCTGACAACAAATGGTCTTAGAAGATACCAGCAAAAACATCTGCCTGTCCCCACTGGCCTCAAACCAAATGTTTGTTTTACTGTGGGTTTGAAACAAATGCCTCCTCCACTTTGGAAATGTATGTCAGCATTGTCTGTGTTTTTTTTCCAAGAAAAGAAACACAGATTCTCTAGAGTCTAAATAACATGTTCATTTACTTAAATTGTTCTTGTCAAGTATTTATCATAACAGAAAGCTACAAAGATAACAAAGTATATCAGAAATGGAATATTGATGCCTTTTAATCAAAATCTATATTTTCATCAGCACATTAAAAATTTATAAAAATCTATATTCCATTTTATTGCATAATGAAAGATGATTTATAAAAAATTAGCAGAAAGTACTCAATGGTACAAATATACTGAATACAAGCAGAATTTGTCTAATTTTTCTGATAATTAGATAATAATATGAAATCAATAAACTCTATTATTGCTTATATCCTATTCTGCTTCAGGTAACTGAACTCAAAGGTATATCCTAATTGAATGAAATTTTAAAAATAAAGCAATTCTGATGTTCTATAGTAAAGGCTTTAAAATTACTACTGTATGGAAATGTTTTATTTTTTTCTTCTGCTCCTTTATGAATGAGGATAAAAAAATAGGAATGCCAACAGAATGTTTTAGAGTAAGCAATGACTATAAAGAAGGCCTACACATGACATTTGCACTGTCACAATTATAAGGATTGCTTCTTAAGTAGTTATTACGTTTCCATTACATATTATCAATTCCTTTCATCAGTAGAAAGGGAACACCTAACAGAAGTTATAAAGTCCTACCCATGCAAACTACTGAATACTACATTTTAAAGCTAAAAATAATTCTCAGAAGTTTTGAAAATTATATTAAAAAAAGTAATCTGGAGAATGCAGGCACATCAAATATTTATGTAAAGAGAAGTACATTTTGATTAGTCTTTACTTCTTATCCTAGACAATAAAGGCCTCAAGTTTAAATGGAGCTACAGAATTAAGACATACACAGCATTATGTCTAAAAGGTGAGGGGCACTAAGGAAAAAAAGGGGTTCTTAAAATACAGAAACTTTATTAAGCTTAATAACTGTAGTGCTTAATTAGTTGAATAAGTAAAAGCATAAATAAAGATGACTATAAATGACTCATTTGACTATAAAACACAAAGTTATGAAACCTGGTATTGAACATTGTTCCAAAAGTCTGTTAGTCAAGCAGACTGAAAAGAACTTTATTCAATGTAAAATGAAGTTTTTTGTACAGGTTGGTGTACATAAAAGCCTGGACCAATGTTTTGACTCTGGAAAGAGTATTCCAAAATGGATCTCAAAAGAGGGTATGTAGCTCACATTCTGGCTTAAAATTATAATGATAAAGTATCCTGCTTCTGTAATCTGGCATTTTTTAAAGTATTTTTAAAAACAAAAATCAGCTTTGTAGTACATGAATAGTACTATAATACACCTACCAATTAAATGCTTGAAGGGCAGCTGATGGTCTCGAAGATTCAAGTGTGCAATATGTCCAACTCTACTAAACCCTGAGGTCACATCTTGACCTTCAGGAAGAACAGCTCTCAAGATTTCTTCTGATTTAAAATTTTCATAAGTTAGTTCCAAATTATATTTAGATAGCTGTGGACTCACATTAAGTTGCTTTAAAATACTGAGTTCTGCTTTCTCAAAGGAATCATGAGTAAACATTTTGTAGGGATCCAACATAATGAGTCTACTTTCTGCATCTTCTGGGTCTTCAATCACACGCTTTATGCCCGGACGTTGCAGTGCCGTCCTTTTAAGGGATCGCATCAATCGATTCACTATTTCTTTCCTCACTTTAAGCACTGGAATGGTGACTGTCTTTTTAAAAGCTGTTCTATCAAGTTTCGTCATTCCTCGAACATCAGAGGGCGGTGAAAATAATTCAGAGTCTCTCCTAATAGTTTCTATTTCTGGCATGGTTGAGAATCCTTTTCTTTGACCCAAGGAAATACCTGACGTTTCCCTCAGCTTATGTGCCAGTGTTGTCCATATGAGTGGAATCAAAGATTCCGATTCAGTTAGGTGACATCGTTCCACTTTGAGAAGTCTTGAGAAATCAAGTGGCCTCCATAAGATTCTTAAAACAAAAAAAAGCATTGGTTTTAAAAATACCATAAAGCTACAAGTCAACATGTTCACAACAGCCTTTGAGAACAGAAATCTAAATTGTTTCACTGTTAAATACTGATAAATAAGCCTTTAATAAATTACACCCAGCACAGTAAAAAAAAAATAATAAAGGAACCACAAAATAAAATGGTATGGGAGAAGTACCCATACCATGACTTTTATTAACGATAAATAATAAATTGGCACCTTCAGCGCACCTGCTGCGGAAATACAGGTACTAGAGGTCCACGAGCCTCCACATACCCACGGAGCTCTCGGCCCGCAATTTCCTACAAAATGCATTTGGAATTGAAAGGCTCACATTTGAGTTACAGGATCATCTCTAAACGAAATGGCCATTATTTACATATATTTGACCTTATCAATGGTAATATTTGCTAGGATATTCTTATGGGTACTTATAACGTCTGGTGCTGTCGTGTTACCAGTATTGGGAGTTGTGTGGTATTGGGCCCTCATTTTGCAAATGAAGGCTCAGAAACAGGTTAACTCACCTACAGCTCTTTTGCTGCTAAGTGGTTGAGCATGGAATAAAACCTCCGCGCTTGTGTTAACACGGTATACTGACAGGCAGTTTGTCTTGGATGCTTTAATGCCACGTGTATTTTCAGGAAAAGGCTTGTTTTAAGCGGTTATCAGTTATTCATTTTCTAACCTAAAATACCAACTAAGTCACTGTAAGGGCAAAGCACACTCCCACTGAATTATATAAAGCACCGAAGTCAAACTTCATACTCGGGGTTCAAATTGGACCTAGCACTTAGTCAGCTGGGTGACCTGGGCAAGTTTATCTGAGTCTCCCTTTCCCATTTGTAAAATGTGGCGAAAGGTTGCCTATGTTTTTCTTTCCTGCGCTGGGGATTGGAACCCAGGGTCTCACACTTGCCAGGCGCGCGTCTACCCCTGAGCTGCAGCTCCCTCATTTCCCAGTACTCCCACCTAAGCTCAGCACCTGGAGTGGGGGTGGGGGGAGGGTAATAATCTCGCGACACTTCCGCGCTCAAGCGGCCCGGGGCGGACTGGCACTGCTCTGCATCACCAGGGCACTGCGGCCGTCACCTCACCAATGGCACCTTCTAATTCCCGACGTTGTTCCGCAGCTGGCTTGGCGACCAGAACCTCACCTCATGCTCCGGTGCGGCTCAGAAATGGGTCTCAGGTGAATGGGCAGGCTCTGATGACATCATCACTACTCGCAGCAGAAGAGGCGAGCGTCATCAGATCGCGTCGACTTCTTTCTTCTCCGCCCGGGTGAAGTACGGGAAGCCGGAAGGGCCGGGCCCATAACCCCGCCTCTGGCACGTTAATGACAGGAGCTTAGGACAGCAGTTCAGGTTCTCAGATGGACTTGGTAGTCAGCAGAGGAACAGCATGGAGGCGTCCTGGGGCACTATCAACCCTGAGCGGGGCTGGTACGTCTCTGCCCAGAGACCTGAAGAGGCGGCGGCGGCGGCGGAAGAGTTGAGTCCGTTGCTAAGCAACGTAAGTGGGCCCGGCTGGCGCAGGGACGCTGACGCCCTCCAGCACCCAAGTGCCTGCGGAATAACTGGGAAAGTAGGGGGATGAGGGAGAGAGGGAAACTGGGGCCTGACCCCTGTGGTGGGGTCCAAAGGTAGCAGCCTTGGCTTAGGTGAGACTCGCCGAGGTAGGAACGCCAGCCTCACGCACGCGCTGTAGCAGAGAAGCGCCGAAGGCAAGGTGCGAGCGCCGCGGAGCCCGTGCAGGAGTGCAGCCGAGCGGGTCTGGGCGCCCGACCTACGCCACGAGCCCCTCTAGCGTGCTGAGACGTCCTCTTCGTTAGTATCTTTGTCGCCTTCCAGTTTCCTCCACCTGTGAGATCTTTGCAAGAGTCACGAGATGCTTCTCCTACATTTAGTCATGGGGGGCGGGGACGGGGACTATAAGCATCTTAATACAAAGATCCCTAGCAGTGAAGGTGTGGAGTGGCCGGGTAAGAAGCACGTAGCACTTCCCACTTCCCTGACCTAAAGTCGGTGCAGTGGGCATTCTGCCTCCCCCCTTCCCACGCAACACCCACACCTGAGGATGAGGATCCAACTAAGGTGCGGGTTCGCGCGTGTTAGGCGAGCGCTCTGGCAATGAGCTACATCCCTAGTCCTGGAACTCCACTCTTTCACTGGACTCTTTGGACTGTGATTGTTTTTCTCCCAACTAATATTTGGGGAGAGGGTGTTTTCAGGCATGTTCTTACCAGAGCAACGTGAATTACTGCTGTTTATTATATTGTCGGTGACTGTCCTTCCATTTAGGTGGGCTTAATTCGTTAAGTGTGTAGATAAACATTAGCTGTGCAGTCCTTGGGATTGGGGAGGAACAGTGGTAGACAGCAGTTCCAAGCTGACTCAGGAATCACATGAGCTGAGGTCTGTCTTTTCTCACAGTCCCCACCCCATTCCTAGCCTATCTTCATCTCTTGCAGTTAGTCACAAGATTGATCAAGGCTCTTCCCTGAAGCCTACCTTGTCCCCTGTATTGGTGGAGATGATATTTCTGGAAAACTAGGTTCTTGAAGCCACACCAGTAGGCGATGGGAAGGAAAGGAAAGGAAACTAGTGCTGGTTAAGCAACTAGCATGTCACACAGAGCCGGGTGGCTTGCAGGAGGGTTTCTCCATAACTATCAGTGATTTCTTGACAAAGTTGAACTTAATCCATTCGAACACTTAACACTATTGCATTTGTGTGGTTACAGGAACTTCACAGACAGGGATCTCCAGGAGTTTCATTTGGCTTCTCTGTCTTTAATTTAATGAATGCCATTATGGGAAGTGGCACCCTTGGCTTAGCATATGTGATGGCTAATACGGGTATCCTAGGATTTAGGTGAGTTTTCCGGAGGGTTTTTTTTTTTTTATATTTTACCATCACTTTTGTTTTTCATTTTGATTGTATGTTGAGAATAAAGAGGCTCCAAAAGCTACTATTATGCAATTTCTAGTTATTTCTGAGTTTTTGGCATTGTTTTGCTAGTGTGGTTACTAATCTGTAACTTGGAGGGATGCTCTATACAGTTAAGTACCACTTAACAAGAGACATATGGTTCTAAGAAATGTGTCGTTGGGCCAATTTCATGTTGTAAAAACATTTTAGAGTAAACTTAAACCTAGATGGGATAGCCTCCCATATACTTAAGCTACTTGGCACAGCCTGTTGTTCCTATGCTGCTGTTACTGTTCTGAAAACTGCAGACTATTGTAACACAATGGTATTCGTGTATCTAAACATATTTAAGCATAGAAAAGATACAGTGAAAATATGGTCTAAAAAAATAAAACATGGTACCCTTTATAGGGCTCTTACCATGAATGGACTTGCAGAACTGGCAAATTGCTCTGAGTGGGTCAGTGGATGAGTGGGAAGTGAATGTGATGGCTGAGGACGTTAGTGTACACTGTTGAAGACATGATCACTGCTCACTTAGGCTATACGACATTTATTTATTTACGTATTTATTTATTTATTTATATACGTACTGGGGCTTGAACTCAGGGCCTTCACCTTGAGCCGCTCTACCAGCCCTACTTTTTTTGGAAGGGTTTTTTGAAAAAAGGTCTTGCAAACTATTTTCCCAGGATGGCTTTGAACTGATATCCTCCTGATCTCTGCCTCCTGAGTAGCAAGGATTACAGGTGTGAACCACCAGTGCTCAGCTACACTATATTTATAAAAAATAGTTTACTTTCTTCAATAATAAATTTTCCTTAGTTTCCTGTAACTCTTTCATTTTGTAAAGTTTACCCATCCCCTCCCCCCCCTTTTTTATACTATTGGGGTTTGAACTCATGCCCTTGAGCTTGCTAGGTAGGTCTCCACCACTTGAGCCATGCCCCAGCCCTTTTTTTGCTTTAGTTATTTTTTAAACAGGGTCTCACAGTTTTTGCCCAGGCTGTCCAGGACTGTAGTCCTTTTACCTATACCTCCCACATAGTTGGGTTGACAGACCTATCCTACCACACCACATCTTTTGTTGAGATGGAGTCTCACTAACTTTTTGCGTAAGCTGGTTTTGAACCTAAATCCTCCCATCCTCTGCCACCTGAGTGAGTAGCTGGGATTATAGGTATGACAACTGTGCCTGGCAAAATTTTAAAACTTTTTGACTCTTGTTATAACACTTAGCTTAAAACACACTAGTCATACAAAATTTTCTTTCTTTATATGTTTATTCATTAATATTTTTCCAGTTAAGTTTTTTTGTTTTCATTATTTTACTTTTGAAACTTTCTGTTGTCATATCATAGGATACTATGATAGCAGTGCCTTCTTCTGGAATACCTTCTGAAGAGCTTGTCTGAGACTGCATTACAGTACACCTTTTTTTTCAATTGTATACAGTCTAAAATAACAATAAAAAGCATAGTATACATATGTAAACCATTAACATAGTCATTTATTATCATCAAATATTATGTGCTGCACTTTTATATGATTGGCAGCATGGTAGGTTTGTTTACCTCAGCATCAACATTAACACATGTGTGGTATGTGCACTATGATATTAGAACAGCTGTGATGTCACCAGGTGGTAGCAATTTCCCACCTCCATTATATCCATCATATATACAATTCATCATCGGCCAAAACTTTGTTATGTAGTATGGACTGTAGTGTTTTTTTATTCTAAAAGTACAGTAAAAATTTTTAAAATAAAACATGATCTAAACTCATTTATAACTCTAAGAAGCAGCTAATAGTTTATTCATTTGAGTCAGGTTTGCCAAAGTAATTATCAGCCATGCAGTTTACTTACGAGTAGCAATTTTTTGTACAAATAAAGCATATAACTTTTTTATTCCTCTCCATCTCCTCTTCTTCTCTTGCTGTCAAGTAACCCTGTTTCACTTTCTGAGGCCAGGCGTATATTCTATGAGTATTCCTGCTCATTTTTCAAGTCTTGGCTCATAGGCAAGTTAACCCAAAATAGATCTTCTTGGCTTTTCTGTGCTTCCATAGTACTTTGCATGTTCATTCTGTTACTATGATTTGCTGTAGTGATTTGTTTGCAAGTTAACCTCCCCACTGAACTCAAAATACTTTAGAACTGGACCTTAGCATATGGCACCATGGCCAATAGAATGAATGAGTAAGTTCACTTTGTTTGTTTTGCCAGTAAAAGCAGGCTTATTTTACTGTGAAATTTAAATACAGAGAGCCTTATTTAGGCTTCTCTCCTTTATTCCAATTTTCTCAGTGAGCGAAGCAACTTTTTAGTAACCAGTTTGACCTTATTATGGGATATATTCACAATTATATGTGACTCCTTACAAGTCATAATCAGAAGACCTATTTTTTTGGTTCTCTTTGAAAAACCATGTTCTATATACTAGAGTTTTACAGGTAGATGTATACCACTGAATGTGGGCTCTGTAAATTAAATCAAATGTCCCTTTTGGTGACGTTAAACTGTTACTTTGTGAGGTGTCTAATGTCATTTGAATGCTTATTTGCTACCTATTAACAGGTATTAAGTGGATGACAAAGAGAATTTCTTTAACTTTTGGGGCAGTCCCCTGGGGATAGCAGTCCAGCTAGAAGCTTGTCCTCCCAGTATCCAAATGAGAATAAGAAGGGGATTATACATGTTGCTTCTTTTTGAAATGTTGATGAGAGAACCCCAATTATTGCATTGTTTGCGTAGTTTTCAAATCATGTCATTAGAAGTGTATTAACTGCATTTAACTTGGTTAACTGGGTTTAGTGTGGAAATTGAGTTTAACAGATACTAGGCAATCTGGTCTTAATAAAATGTGAAATATGAAAATATGGAAAATATGAAAATATGGTAAGAAGGTCCACATCACTGGAGTGGAAGAGTAAGAGGAACGGCAGAGAGAAGACAGTGAAGTTTCGCAACTGAAACTGCTGTTTAGACTTAGAATAAGAAAGATTGGTCATATGAGGGAAATACTAATATCATTTTGTTGTTGAACCAGCAGTCAGCAGACAGGAATGCAAAATGAGGAAATTTGTATTTTAGATGTGTTGTGTTTCTTTCTGATTTTTTTTTTAACTTTAAAAGCAATATGTTGTCATTTAAATAAAATTTGGTGGATATAGAAAAGTAGAAAACTATCATCTTCTTAATTTCTTGAAAGACCATAATTCTACTACTCAGACACTGTGGCCATTTGAATGTAAGGAAATTTGTTTTTGTAATGACATGCCTTAAAAAAGCAGGAATTTGGGGGGATTTGACCCTGTGTTCTTTTATATTTTAGTTTCTTGCTGCTGATAGTTGCTTTCCTGGCTTCTTTCTCAGTCCATCTCCTGCTTAGTATGTGTATTCAGACAGGTAAGTAAACATACTATGCTGTTTCATTTGATGAGGCCGTCCCTTGAGTTCATATTATATATAGGAGTGGATGTCTTAAATCTAATTTCCAGAGCTAAAATGTAGCTTAGTGGTAGAATATGTTTAATATGAATGAGCCCTGAGTTCAAACCTCACCACCACAAAACACCCCAAACCTCAGCAAAAAACATACACAAAATCTAATTTCCAGTGAGCATATATTGGTTGAAATATAAAATTTCATGAGGCCAGAATATATAGAACCAATCCTATGGGTGAATATCCAGGGAGAGGCTATGAAAAGGAAACTCATCTTTTTTTTTTTTTAACCAGCTTTCCTCCACAAAACAAAACATAATTTTCTGGATTAGAGTAGATAAGAGAGGCACCTAACAGCTGTTTAAAAGAGCCAAACTAAGCTTGTGGTAGGTGGGTATTAGTAGTTCCAAAACTACTGCTGTACTTGCTTTCCTAAAACTTGCCTATGCAGCAGAAACATCTGTTGGCCTTTTAATAAACTTATTTCTTAACAAGTCCTCCAAGTGATTCTAATGCAAAACCAGTTTAGGATCCATTGTTCCTGGCTGCAAATTGTACTGATGCTCTGGCCATCTAGCCAACAAATACATTGTTCCTCTGCTCTCAGGGTGAACAGTGCAGACAGATAAAAATATGAGCAAACAATGTAAAGTTAACAAGTTGTTTATAATAGCATTCTGAATTCAGGAATAATGGCTTTAAATAAATGTATTTGTAAATCTTGCTGAACCCTGACTAGAGTTTTAATTTTGAAATTTTGCTTCTTGGTGTAAAAACCATTTTTACTTAATATTGATAGATTGTCTAAAATTATAATAGGTTCTCTTAATAAGTTATATTAAAATATTAAGACTTGTCAGCTATGTGGCAATTATGTCTTCATTAATTAAAACATGTTTTTAATTTCCATTATTTGGGGATTATATTCAATTTATGGAGATTTTTAAATAATGTTAATTTTCCCCCTCTCCTTCAGTTCATCATATTTAACTTTAAAATTCTGGCACTGTCTGTCATTCTTTTCTGTAAATCTGGGACATATAAAGTGAAAACACCTGTTTCTCTTCTTTTTTTCTTTTTCTTTGGTTTTTGTAGCTTGCTTGGATCCATGAACTAACTGCTTCATGGTTCTTCATGTATACTGATACACCTACCTTCTGTTGATTGAGTTCCTTCAGTCATTGTAAAACGCACTGCAGAGGTAGGCTTTTTTCAGTATGTTCATGTAAGACTAGAGAGTTAAATGTTGCTAATTTTCCCCCTCATTTTGTTAGACTACCATAAAGGAATGCAATGTTCTGATTCAATTCATTGTTCAGAGAAATAGTTATTATAAGTCTTTAAAAAATAAATTTTTCATTTATTTGGAGGTAAAAGGTAAACAGATATGGAAGGATTTTTTAACATAAAATTCTCCTGCTTTTAGCTTCTATATATAGCCAGGGTATATCAGGACTTTTCTTGGTTGCTGAGATGGCATATAAAGTACCTATTTTCTCTAGCCTTATTTTGCCATCTTTGAAATAGTCATGATAATACTTTCCTCCTGGGATTGTTATGAGACTAAAACAAAAGAGTGTTTATAAAGTGTCAGACGCTTCATAAATGTTCACTCCTATTATGAGTGCTCACTGGGACAAAATCTGTAAGGATTTCAAGATGGTATTTTGCAATCTCAGAAACAGTTGACTCATTGCCGTTCTATGGGCATGCGTCTTATCCTATGGGATTGAACCCATGGCTCCCGTCCTCCAATCTCCACATTATTATTAGCAGGAGGGAATGAGAGTTCTAGAACTTCTGTGTGCTTCTGGCCCAAACACCTGATCCCAAGTATGCTCTCTGCATTATCACCATTATGTGCCTTGAGACCATTTGGATTAATGATATTATAATATTTATCTCAATTATGACATTCACTTCAGGAATTTTATCATCCTTCGTTTCCCAGACTCATCCCTTGTGACCATCATTTATCTTCTGACTTCATCTTCCACTGTTCTGCAACTCCTGGAACTTTTGCACTGCGTTCTCTGGAACTCACAATCAACCATCAGCAAAACCTTTATGTCCTTGATTCTTTTCTGAAATTCCCTTTCTTGCCCTAAGAAAACCTAAGTCCTTTTAAAGATAACATTTATTGAGTTTACTGTGTACACTGAGCACAGTATTTTAAGAGATTTGCATGTAATAACTATGAGGTAGATATTGTTTTATGCATGTTAGAGATTAGGAAACTGAGGCACTGAGAGATTATTTTAAGGTTGCACAGCTAGTTACTTAGTTAGAAGAGCTGATGTTTGAACTTGACAACCTTAAATCCAGAGTCCATGTTCATATACAATGTACTGCCATTTCCCCATCATCAAAGGAACCTGGGAGTGTATTCTTTGGAGAAAGTAAATCAAAAAGACTCTGAGTCATAGGTATAGTTAAGGCCAGGGTCATTTTACATAAACAGGGAGTTTAAGTGAAAATCTACAAGCTGAAGGAGAGTCCCAGTCACTAGAAGTTCCAAGTTCTGGAGAATGCTGGCACCAGGACTTGTACTCTCACTTAAGGGATTAAAGGAGTACTTTGTATAGAATCACTTCTGCTCTAAATAAAAGACCTATAGCTGCAAATAACTGATGACCCTCCAAGAATGACTGAGTTATTCCTATTTGATCATGATATAATTAAGCCTACCACTCAATAAGCCTCATCTGTGCACATTAAGCTTCTGTTTAGCCTTTTAGTGCCTCACACTTACATCAAGAAATAGGCAAGTATCACAAGACAGTTCTGAAAACACTTTAACATGAAAGATATATGCTAAAATAACCTCAAAAAACAAACAGAAGGAGTAATGAGATACCTCTGTACACCTATTAGGATCGTGAAAAACTCAAACAGTGACAACACCACATGCTAGTGAGGGTGTGGGGCAATAGGAATACTCCTTCATTGCTGGTGGATATGCAAAATGCATAGCCACTTTGGAATGCACATTGGCATGCTTGCTTGTTTTTACAGATCTAAGCATTTTTACCACATGATCCAGGGGTGTTGTTCCTCTTGGTATTTACCCAAATGAGTTCAAGACTTATATCTACATAAAAATCTGCACATAGCTGTTTATAGCAGCTTTACTCACAACTGCCAAAATCTGGGAGCAACTAACTGGTCCTTCTGTAAGTAAATGAATAAACATATTGGCACAATAGAATATTATTCACCATTAAAAAGAAATGAACCATTGAGCCATGAAAAGCCATGGAGGAATCTCAGGTGCATATTATCAAGAGAAAGGAACCATATGGTCCAGGAATTCCTGCACTGGATGTGTATTGAAAGGAAATGAAATCAGTACTTTGTAGAGATAGTCTGTGCTCTCATGTTCATTGCAGCATTATTACAGCAGCCAAAATATGGAGCAATTTGTCAGTAGATGATTGGATTTTCATTAATTGTCATAGTTCTTTTGCTGTGTATATCAAAACATCATGTTGAGCACCTTAAATGCATACAGTTGAAGAAACCAATCTGTAAACGCTACATATGATATGGTTCCAACTATATAATATCCTGCGAAGGACAAAACTGTGGGACAGTAAAAAGGTCAGTGTTTACCAGAGGTTAGGAGGGAAGAATGGCTGAATAGACAAAGCACAGAGGATTTTCAGGGTGATAAGATTACTCTGTATTATATTATAATATTCTGTGATATTGTCAAGACCCATAGAATGTACAATACCCGAGATGAATCTGGATATAAACAACAAACTTTATGATACTGGCATGTCAAAGTACGTTCATTAATTCTAACAAATATACCACTTTGGTGCAGGATGTTGATGGTGTGGGAGGCTATGGGTGTGGGGGAGGGGCAGGAGGTATATGGGAACTTTGCACTTTCTATTCAGTTTTGCTGAGAACCTAAAACTTTAAAAATACAGTTTGTTAAGCACAAGTAAAGACAGAAACAATGTTAGAGGAAAAGACAAAACAAATAATTCAGGGACCAGATGAAAGTTTAAGGAAAAAAAAAAGCCACTGTATTTGTTAGCTTTGGATAACTAAAAGAAGATAATGCATTCTTGAAATAAGAAATTTTATTAAAAATCTATTTGATAAACACAAGAGCCCTATAAGTAAAAAAAATAATAAAATTAGTCTCGTAGTTGGGTTGGAAGAGTTAAGGAAACTTCCTGGGTTGGAGGTGGAGATGACAAAGAATTTGAAAATTGGAGAGAAAAGAAAAGAAAATTAGAAGATTAGTCCAAGAGGTCCAACATGTTAGCAGAAGGAATTCCACAAAGAGAGTTAAATGGACTGGTAGAAAATTATCAACAGAATAATGCGAAAAACCAAAAAAGTTGGTGTAACTGAAGGAAGTTAGTTTTCATATTAAAAAGATTCCTCCTAGAATCTGATACAATTGCAAAATAATTCATACCAAGACATATTGTGAACAATCAGAAATCCAGTAATAAAGAGAGCATCTTAAGTGCTTGCAGAGAGAAGAAACAAAAAAATCTGCCTATAAAAAATAAGAACCATAATGGCATAGGTCTTCCCAGAAGAAGTACTATAAAGTAGAAGGTTATAAAGAAGAACTGTAAAGTAAAAGATTCTTAGACTAAATGATTTGAATATCAAATTCTATACCCAGCCAAACTGTCATTTAAATGTGACGTTTGAATAATGACATTTCATATATGCAAGTTCTCAAAAACTGTCTCACATGCATACCAACTTAGCAATGGCAAAGTTAGGGAGTAACAAAGAAGCAGGGAATCTAGTACAGGAGAGAAGTAAAACATCAACTGAGCAGTGGATCTAAGTCCTACCCTCAGATGAAAGGCACAGCACTTTCTCCAAGTCAGATTGTACTCAGGATTGTGGTAAGGGTGGCTTTTTTGGTTCTGTCCGAAAGGGGTGTCTTATTTGTCATTCTAGCTCTACCAGTTTGGCTAGGC